TGTGTGTGTGTGTGTGTGTGTGTGTGTGTATGTGTGTGTGTGTGTGTGTGTGTGTGTGTGTGTGTGTGATGGTGTCACCCTGAAGGTTAGCAGCACTATCATCATAATGATGTCATTTAAAATGCTGACAGCTCATTGGCCGGGTTATTGATTGGGCTTCACTGGATGTTTTAAATGGGAATTAGATTATGAATATCATTACTGTTAAAGTGCTAACGGGGATTTGCGAGCACTTAGCCGATACACTGATGCTGGAAGATCTAATTAGCTGGCAGATGAAAAAGGATGCATAATATTTATAGTCCCAAACAGACGAACTGGACGCGTGTGTGAAGCAAATTCTGCAGCATTTGAACCAAAATGATAAAGGTTTTGTAATAAATTCAGGATGATTCATCACATTTACATGAATGTTTTTCCGTCACTGTCTTTGTCTCTGATATTATCGCATAGTCAGCAATGCTGCATATCTGTGAGTTTGTTGTGCAATTTAATGCAATTATGCTTAATAACTTTAAATGATTTTATGATTTTATGAACACAAACAACAAAATGTTTGATTTCACTCTGCTTATGAACACTTTTACTGCTGTTTTGGCATCAAAACCAGAGAAAAACTGGATCATTAAAAACCTTTTTGGTTGTTGTTGTTTTTCTTGTTGTTTTTCTAAATGGACAGAATGTTATCTTTTTTATATTGATAAAGTATAAAAAGCCAGTGCATGTTTATTAGTATTTTGTTGTGCATGTCAAAACACACAAACCTCTTTATTTTATGAATCGGTTTGTTTGGACTGTTCATTTAAATCACTTTCAAACGGTTCCAAAAACAAGTCATTTCTCAATAGTTTGTTTAATTTTCTATTACTGTCATTTCAAGTGTTCGCTCATTTGCATGCAGTTTCACGTTTGACGCTGTCTGCCTAATTAAGTTTTTTTGTGTCTGATAAAAGTGGCTTTAAATTTTTAAATGATGTAAATGTGTATACTTATATAATACAAAATGCTTTATAATTGCATTAAAATGCAATAAAATACATTACACCTTAAATTGCTTAAATACCCAATAAAAGCAAATTCAGTTATTTATTTATTTGTTTGTTTGTGCGTGTGTGTGTGTGTGTGTGTGTGAGAGAGAGAGAGAGAGAGAGAGAGAGAGAGAGAGAGACTTTTATTTGTGAAGTTTAATGCTTTTCAGTCCGTCTCTACTTTGAGGTAATCTATAATTTAACAACAACAACAATAATAATAATATGCATGTGTGTTAAAATATTTATTTATGAATGTTTTTATTCATTTTTTATAAATTAATAAATAAGTAAAATACAATAAAACCATATTAAATTATAGCGTATATAAATTATAATTATATAAATTATATAGTTTTCTCTTCTGGAAAATCATATCACATTGCACTCATCTTCATCCAATAAAATTGCTTTTAAAATGAAAATGTCACATGAGGGATTTTTTTCTGTGTTTTGAGCAGCACAGGAGAAGAGCATTATAACACACAAACTGAAATTAAACTGAAAACTAAGAGAAAACATGACCCCACCACAACACCATGTCCACCACATACATAACATTTCCTCTGATCAAATATAATACTAACAAGCACACAGACCTTGACACTGAACGGTGTGTTTAAACATCATAAAGCCAGTGTTAAAAATAATATTTTAGGCATAAATACATTTTTAAAAAAGGATGGTTTACTTGAGAAAATGTTAAACATGTTGGCAGAAAGCCGACACAGAGACGCTATACGGGGTGAAAGAAACACGTCTTTACCTTTCTGTTCCACCTCTATTTTAGGCATGGAGGAGAAAAACAGAGACAGAGAGAGAAAAATCAGAGCAATGAAATAAAGATTCAACATTTTCTTCTTCTCCAGAACAACCTGAGGAACAACAAGCATCTGCTCTTGTGTCAGAATGAAGTCGAGTGCAAACTGATCGACGTCTGTCAGACTGCATGATGAACGTCTCAGCTCAGAGTTTGGTCCAAACCGAGAGCGTTTACTCAAACTCAAGCGAGCAGATTTACAAAATGAGTCTTAGACGGAAAAACTCACACACTTTGCACCCGACTTAATACAAGAGATACAACATGTTTGAGTAGCACCAAAACTTCCAGCAGAGACCTGTGGAGAAACAGAGGATCTCAGGTTGTAGTGTGTGTGTGTGTGTGAGTGTGAGTGTGTGAGCGTGTGTGAGTGAGTGAGTGAGTGAGTGAGTGAGTGAGTGAGTGAGTGAGTGAGTGAGTGAGTGCGTGCGTGCGTGTGTGTGTGTGTGCATGTTTATGTGTTTTATGAGGACACAAATTTGTATAATAACATGGGTATGACGTATTACGAGAAGGTGATTTATGAGGACATTTTCAGTGTCCCCGTAATTCAAAAGGCTTATAAATAATTCAGAATGAATTTTTTTGAAAATCTAAAAATGCATAAAGTTTCCTGTAAGCGGTAGGTTTAGGCGTAGGGTTGGTGTAGGGCAATAGAATATACGGTCTGTACAGTATAAAAACCATTATGCCTATGGAGAGTCCCCATAAACCATAAAAACAAACCTGTGTGTGTGTGTGTGTGTGTGTGTGTGTGTGTGTGTGAGAGTGAGTGAGTGAGTGAGTGAGTGAGTGAGTGTGTGTGTGAGTGTGTGTGTGTGTGTGTGTGTGTGTGTGTGTGTGTGTGTGTGTGAGAGAGTGTGTGTGTGTGTGTGAGAGAGTGTGTGAGAGAGAGAAATAAAACTAGTTGAAGCAGTAAATGAATAAGACAGCTGTGAGATATAAAAGAGAATTTAGCAATGACAGACATTAAATCAAACAGCAAGCCACACAAAGACATGTCACATCATTTATCACTTAAATCTGTTTATGAAAAACATTCATACAGTAATTTGTTTGTGTGTGTGTGAGGCACGTTTACATAAGTACAGTTTGGGGACAAACAATAGCTTAGAAGTGAGCTATACCTTTTGTAATGCGTGTTGTAAAGACCGTGCGTAAAAACTAAAGAGAAAGAAAAGCTTACAGCTGCATGAGTCGCGACTGTCACGTTAGCCTGATGGGACTAAACTCCCTTTGTGATTTTAAAACGTAAGACAGTACCCAGATTTGAAGACTGCAGTAAGATTTAACTTCTACTCTTAATAAGATTTTTGTGGGCTACTATTAGATAGATAGCCTAAATGTCCTAATTCATGTTTTTTTTTTATGGTATATCAAAAAGTGTATATTTTTTTAAATGTGATTGTTGGTACATTTTACCAGTTTTTACCATACTTTCAAAACAAAAATTAAAATAGGAAAAATATGCAATATGAAAATAATTGAAGACAAAATTTAGGTTTTTTAAAAGCTTTTTAGCCTGATGGGACTAAACTCCCTTTGTGATTTTAAAACGTAAGACAGTACCCAGATTTGAAGACTGCAGTAAGATTTAACTTCTACTCTTAATAAGATTTTTGTGGGCTACTATTAGATAGATAGCCTAAATGTCCTAATTCATGGTTTTTTTTTAATGGTATATCAAAAAGTGTATATTTTTTTAAATGTGATTGTTGGTACATTTTACCAGTTTTTACCATACTTTCAAAACAAAAATTAAAATAGGAAAAATATGCAATATGAAAATAATTGAAGACAAAATTTAGGTTTTTTAAAAGCTTTTTTCCAAAAGGTACATCTGGAAAAAGGGGGGTCGTCTTATAATCAGGGTCGTCTTATATTCGGGCCAATACGGTATTACTAAAATACTAGTTTTGCACGCACACATGCATTTAAAATGTTTGCAGTCAGTTAGATTTTATGCATTTATACTTTTTAATGAATACTTTTATTTATCAAGGATGCATTAAATTGATCAAAAGTGAAAGTAAAGACATTTATAAACTACAAAAGAGTTATATTTCAAATAAATGCTGTTCTTTGAACTTTCTATTCATCTGTGAATCCTGAAAAAATAAAATGCATTACGGTTTCCACAAATATATTCAGCAGCACAACTGTTTTCAACATTGATAATAATCAGAAATGTTTCTTGAGCAGCAGATCAGCATATTATACTGATTTCTGAAGATCATGTGACACTGAAGACTGGAGGAATGATGCTGAAAATACAGCTGCGCATCACAGAAATACATTTTTTACAGATATTCACAAAGTAAACAGTTACTTTGGATCAGGGATGGGCAATGTCACACACACACACACACACACACACACACACACACACACACACACTCTAAATACATAATGAGTCCAATATATTCTGTACAAACACACTGCTTTCACGTAAACCCAACATGAAACACACAGTGTGCCAGGTTCATCGCACAGTGCCAATGCAGGAATAACTGAACAATTGTCACGGGTAAAGCATTTGACGAAAACCACTTCATGTTTTTTGCCAGTAGGATGGCAATGAGCAAGTAAGTCATCATGTGTGCAAAAATTATAAATTTAACACCAACTGCTGTATAAAAATAAATACAACTGTTTCTGGATAAAACTTTGTCATATCTGTGATCTTTAACTCTGATCTTAATCTAGTGACCATTAAGGTTTGTTGTTTTTTTTAGGGGTGGGGTTGCTATTTGTGGAGCCTGAGAACTTCAGGGAAGCAAAGCATAAAAAGTGCTTTCTGCTTTCTTTCTTCAACTCAACATCTTAGTAATCAGAGTAACCACCCACATCTCTCTGAAAGCCTCCATATCTTATCTCACAGGCCTAAACTAAAACTTTCCAACAAAAACAAGAAAATCTAAAAAAGCAGACAGTGCCAACTCTAAGTAGGAGACATTTAATGGACCAAAATGTGATTGATGTAACTGCTTGGACATTTTCTTTTCATCTCTCTAGCAAGTAGCCATTTAAGTAGATGTTTGATCCAAAGTGCCACAAATTATAAGGACAATCCTCTTGGAGCAACCTGACTGATGTCACACTCTAAATGTGCAAGTCTGCATGAACTCTTTGGCTCTGTAATCTTTTATTTTGATAAAACAGGATTACGCAGATTAACAGGCAGAGCTAGAGAGCATATAACATCTCTACAAAACCTTATGAGCTGCACATTTCAAATAAATGACTCTTTCAGCCATTTTGGGTTTACTGACTAAACATTACGCAATGCATTCTGGGATTGCCATTCCCACCGGTATGATGACTGGCAGCCCTCCAGAGCTACTGTTTCTGATTGGTTCACGCTGGCGATAAAGCCCTAAAACTCAAAGGTCACCAAAGTGAGGACCAGCAGGTTGCCATGGACACCACTCTGCTTTCATGGATACCAACTGGGTTTCACCATCCAAAGGAACTCATGTAATTGTAACACACACACACACACACACACACACACACACACGTGCGTGCATCTCAAATCAGTGTGTAGCAAAGCTATTAGCGATTCAAAGAGTGAAGATGAAGGAGGTTATTATCAGGTGTGTGTCTGTATCTCAGCAGTGCAGATCAGAATCAGACGAAAACTACTGGGATTCAGCATGAAGTGATTCGTTAGATGAGGCTCCGCCCACAAACTGTGATGTCAGACACCAGTGTTCCCTTGTAAAAAAAATTTAAATAATAATAAATAAAATAAAAAATACACTTTAAAAAAAGAATACACTTTAAAGATTTGAAGTGCACTACAAGTGTACACTCACTACAATTAGTGCACTTCTTTTCACAAGGTGCGAGACTGACAATGATATTTTGAGTAATGCTTTTATTGAGCGCTGAAATATCCAGGGCAAACGTAGCGTCATCCACCGCCTGTCAAACAGACTCTTTTCATCACCTAATCAATCCCAGACAGATAAAATCAAGATCCCGAATGTCCTGCTTCACTATGAAACATATCATATTATGAAAATAAAACGTGAATGGCATTTCACGCTGATTTTAAGTCGGTGCTAAACGGCTGATTAGAGTGTTTCATCTCTTGATTACAGTGAAACGCTTCATTAAGAGCGAGAAAGCAGACACATTAGTGGCCGTTTTCTGCTTGTCAGATAAAGTCCAGCAGCAACAGCAGCCTTAAACTCGCATTAAAGCGCTTGTGCTGTTTGACCTCTGAGGAGCCGCGGCCACTGAATTATGAATGAATGGAAATGTGTGTGTAGCTGATAAGAGTAAACATATTAGAGCATGTCAACACAGCTGATTTAATAACTACAGGCTGCAGGTGTTTCTCACACAAACATGCACACGCACACACACACACACACACACACACTCACACGAACACGAACACACGCACACGAACACTCACACGAACACACACACTCGCACGCACGCACGCGCATGCATGCACGCACAGACAGACAGACACACACACACACACACAGAGAGAGACAAACACACACAGAGACACATACACACACACACACACGTCAGAGTGAACCCAGCACTTTTTCTCAAGTGTCCAAGTGTCTTTCAGCTACATCACTTTAAGCATGTCAGTGCATCAATCAGCAAGAAACCGTGTTACAACTAGCATGTCAATACCTGCCAATCATATCTGACTCAGAGCGAGCGAAAGACAGAGAGATCATGACAGCAGTCAACAACATGACGTGGAGACAGTTCAGCCCAAAAGCTGAAAACGAAATAAAGTAAAATCCAAGAAATATGTCATTATATATTGTTTAAAGTAAATAAAGACTAACTAACTAACTATTTGTTATTATTATTATTATTATTATTATACAAATGTATTTATTACACAACAATAATAATAATTATTATTATTATTATTGTTGTTGTTGTTACTGTAATGCAGAAAAACAATGGTGTATATTTTAATT